TACAAGGTCAGGCTGGTGGAGGGAAAGCTTGAGATACTGAGTGTCAGCAGGGTGGTTACAGTATCTGCACGTTTAAAAAGAAAAGGGCTGTTGCAGACAGTCATGCTTAAGCAGGTTTTGAATGAAACCTGGGGCCTGTGGTGCTGTCTGATTCAAATTGTAAAAAGTGATATTTTTAACAGAGCACCTCCTACAATGTTTCTCGCTCGACCTGCATCTCAGCACTGTGCCACAGATGCTCCTGGTGCAGTTATACCCCCAACATTCAGGAATAACAGGATTTCATAAATTATGGTGAGATAAAGTAGACAAAGATGGTACCAACTTACTGATTACAACACATGTGTAGTAATTCCAGCTTACTTTTCTGGTTATTCATTTTGCATGATGAACTGGAATGATGTTTATATATAACATAACATACTACTTATGTTTATGTATATATAACAGTATATATAAATATCATTCCAAGTTTTATATATGCATGTTATATGAATATTTTATATATATGTTTCACCTTGGCTTTCTCATGATTTGTCTTCTTTTGTCACTGTGCTTTTCCTCGGTGTGAATGTAAAAGCATAAATCCAGCCCAGTTTCCTGCCTCCTTTTAAAATCTTTAAATAGCCTTTTCTTGCTGTCATGCAGCAGGTCTCAGCAGAAGTCACTTGGTGTAACAGAACTCAGGGTGCTTTAACAAAGAAGTCAGTGACTGTAATAGCTTCTATTGAACCTGGTACTATGTTTTGGCAAATGCATCTCCATTCCCTTTGCATCTGTGAGTAAAAGGTGCTTTGAGGAGGAGGAAAATGTCTGCTTTTTATAGAGCCATGCAGGGGATGCAGTCATTTTGTTGGGTTTTTTTCCCCTAACCATCTTCCCTGAAGCCTGCTGTAGGGTGACTGTTTATGTAAAGTCTAGTGTTTCCTAGCACTTTATTTTCAGACTTCATGTAGATGAAATGCTTGTGGTCACTGTCACTGGTTCACCACATGAAGGATGCCTAATAGCATAGGAGCTGTGCTGTCAGTGGGAGGAGCTCACCCAGGAAACTTTTGGAAAAATCTGTCTTGTGTAAAACAAGCAAACAAAATTCTAGCAACATCTTTTATGTGACTGTAACCATGTGTGGAATGTGCACTCCTTCTCTCCCCCTTGGTCTCCAGTGTATATATAGCATGCATTCAGCCACTTGCTATGGATCCTGTGCACTCCAGCAGGCAGCATGGAGCCAGCAATCCCTTTTCTGTGACTCTCTCCTGCCTGTAGTCTAAGAAGGCAAGAATTGTTTCTGTGCAGTTTGTGGAGGTTGAGGAGGCTGTTTGTGTGTTTTTAGTTTTAACACAAACTAAAAAAAAAAAGAAAATAAAAAAAGCTTTCTATTCTCACTACCTTGCAAGGCATCCAAGAGAAACTGGAACCCACAAGGAACTGATGAATGTGCCTTACTGTAAATGTGATTTCAGTCCATATGATTTCTGTGGCCAGGGATTGATTGCAGCACATACCTGTCTGTAGCAGATTATTGAGTAAACTCAGCAGATCTGTAACTGAGGCAGGCTGTTCCTGCCCATAACAAGACCAAAGATTTTGCAGACCATTAATTCATCCATCTAATCAGCTGGAAATTTCAGAGGTACATGAAAGAATTACCTCTTGGGCACCCTTGAAAATACCAGTTAACTTCATTATGCTTTTCATGTTGAGTCTAATCTGTGCTTTCAGATTGATCTTTTTCTCATAATGAAAATGTTAAGCAGGAGTAAAAGTTGTTATTGCATCTTTGATAGGAATCATGCAACATGGATCAAGTAGTATAACTCAGTTTAAATAACCTGAAATATATACAGTAATCTTAAGGACTGCATGCTCAGTTCTGCTTGAGTTGTCTGTCTTGTCCTGCTTATCTTCTGTAGAAGTGTAGTTCTCAAAGGCTTAAGTCCTGCACTAATGTGGGCTCTCTCCCAAATAGGACTACCTGATATAATTTAAGTTTATCCTCTTGGTTGGAAAGAGGGTAATTAAGGGAACAATAAAAAAGCTTATTAAAAACTGCATTCAGGTTCAATGGTGTGAAAAGTGAGCTTCCTGTGACAAGATGCTTCCAAAATCTTGTTTTTTCTGATTTCTCAGTGACTTGGTTCCCCAGGGTTAGGCTGTGTGAATTTGAAGCAGTGGCTTGGGCTGTGCTGGTGGCCGTGTTTGCATTGCTGTGGTGGTTGTGATAGACTGGAACAATAACCTTAATCCCGGGCACCTTCTCACCCCTGGGGGAAGGGAGGAGTTCTGCAGGAATTTACAATCTGCTTTGCATTGCATTTCCATTTCTTGGGTCGCAGGTTTTTACATCAGGAAAAGCTTAAATACAGCTATGTTACCCCAGCTTGGCTTTGCAGGCAGTGTCAGTACTGAAGCCAGCACAGAGCAGGCTGCAGGACTTTCTAAAGCTGTGAGCACCCTTGCATATATCCATATACCCTGGTTTTCCTGGGACTGGTTCCTTACAAAATGGCCATGTTCATGCTCATTACCATAATCCATGAAAGCTGCTTGTACATCCTGGGTTCTGCTTCAGTGAACTGGGAAGCCTCTCTGTCTGAAAACAAAATCACAGCAGCCAAGGAATTGTTTGCTTGTGTAGTCAGCCCGGCCCAGGCTCTGTTTCCCTGCCTGGTTGCAGTGTGAGATTGTGGGTAAATCACATGGCTGCCTCTGGGGAGGCTCGCAGGGGAAGCAGTGCTGGATGGGCCTTTTCAGCACGTTCACTGCCTTACTTTAGACTTCACATTTCAGGTTGCCTCATGATTTTGGAAAAGTAACAGATTTTCTTGAGATTGCCCACACTCACAGGCTGATGGGACAGCCTCTCACAGTGGTTTGGGTGCAGGTATCACTTTTTATCTAATATTGCTGCAGCATCAGTGGGGTAGAGTTAAGGAGTTAAGGAGGTACTTTGCCATCACCTCAGAGCAATTTAGGAGATATGGATCTTGCATTACTGGCTCCTTCTGAAAAGGAAGACCCAAGTGGCAGTGGGATAGCTCCTTACTGATATGAGGCTGCAGTGGGGGATCTCCTGGCCTCAGCAGTGCTGCAAAACTGCCTTAGGGCTCTGTGCAGTCAGGCCTTTGATCAGCAGCAGGCTGGGATTGCACCGGACACTGCTGAGCAGGGGCTGATTTGTCCTTGACTCAGGTGTTGGAAAATGCTGAGCAGTTGGTGTTACAGCAGAGAGTTCCATTGCTCTGTGACAGGCAGCTCAGCTTTTCCCTGATAAGGCCTTGAGAAATTAAGCTTTGCTTGAACTGGTTTTGAGCCTTAGTCCATGTGATGCTCATTGCAAATATATGTACTTTGAGCTTTTTCTCTTTAAGCAAATCCATGTAGCAGTACAAAGCTTAAAATCCAGGGCAGTGGCTCAACATCCTTGTTTCAGGTTCACTTCAGGAGGTTGGTGCCTGCTGCTGGCAGACACTGCAAGGCATGGACACTGCTGTTTTGAGCTGTGCCTTCATGTTGAGTCTGCAGGGAACCTTGTTTAGAAGGGTTAGATAAACACAATTAGGTTGCATTGCCAGCAATGATGTTCTTATTTAATGCATTAATGAGTGCAGGTGGCAGGACCTCTGAAGTGAATTAAATGCAATGCAAACTCCTGCCATACTAGCAGAGCCATTGTGAGCCTCTGAGTGCTGAGCCAGCTCATTTGAGAGATGAGGTGGGAGATGGGAATGAGTTGCCCATGCCTGAATGATAATTTTGAGCATTACCTTACAGCACAATCTGCCTGTGCCAAAGAACCAAGAGCAAGTGAGTGTGTTTTAGAGCTGCATTTCTGTCAATAGCACCATTAAGATAAGGTGCAGATTGACTTGCTTGTCACCTTGTTCTGTTACCTGGCAGGATTCAATAATGCACTGGTTAAAAGAATTCTGCTCAGCCCATACCAGCACTTACAGTGCTAGAACAACACCACCCAAATCCTTTCCTTTCCTTCTATAGGCAAGATGCTGGAATCCAGCACAATTACTGTGCTCTGCTGACCTTTCCCACGGTAAAACCTGGTTTTTATTTCCTGCTGCTTTAACCTTAGTATCAGTGAAATGGTTCCTGGAAAGCTTGTATTGATTGCACATGATTGTCTAATTAAAGTGCAATAAGAAGAATTGCAGAACACTCACTCTTACAGCCATGTGCTCATTGTAGACACTGTAAATTAGAAAGCTTTCTGTTCAAATATGGAAAATGTCAGTGCTTATTTCCTTTTGAATTTCCAAGCATCTCCTGAAGGCTGCACTTGTGTGAATAATTTTTTTCCTAAATAACAATTGGAAAGAAATGTTACTTAAGAAGGAATGAGGCCCTACAGGGGCCCTGCTGTAAACCTGCTAGCTGTAACCCTAAAGGGAGGCACTTCTAAAGTAATGTATTTTAAACTGAAACCTCCTAGATGATCCTTTAACATCATGTACACAAATATAAATGGATATCAATTATACAATATATAGAGACAAGTCTTTAAATAGTACTCTCTAGTCTTACCTGGAGGCTGTTTGTTGCTCTGCCTGGACTTTATGGCTGTTTTTGTTCCCTATTGCTTGTGGTTTGATACTTTCTGGTGACTTGGATCTTAATGAGATATGTACAATGAGCTAATAAAAAATTGATCCTAGTCCTTGATACCTTGCAGGAACCCAAGAGTTTGTTGTTACAGGAGTGCATCTTGCTTAGTCACTGATTGAATACATGGCCTTGAGGAAATCACTGAATTTACCCAAATCTTCAGCTTGCATCTCATCTCTCGATGGCCCATGATTCACTGTGAAGTATTTACAGAGCTTTATGAATGATCAGTAATTCTGCCCAAGACACTAGGCAGAAAGATCAGTAGAGAATGTTGGACTTTGAATTAATTAATGATGCATCAACTGCATACAAAACCTCTTTAGTACATTCAGTATCATGTGTGAAACTGACTTTCCCCTTTCCTTCTCTTCCAGATGTACTTTCCGATTCCCTAGCACGGTTATAAAAATCCAGTTCACATCTTTATACCATAAAGAGGAAGTAAAAGAGGAAGCCTCAACACATCCCCTTCGGCCACTTTACCCTCAAATATCACCTCTGAAGATCCACATCCCGGAGCCGGATCTCCGGAGCGTGGTCAGTCCCCTCCCGTCCCCCACAGGCACTATCAGGTAAGATGTTTAATTCTCAAAAATGTCTCCTCTGACATCAGTCTGTCAGCCCTGCTTGGTTTGGTATCCTTGGTGCAAGAAATGCCCCATTAAAAACAACTAATTAAATCTCTGATGTTCAAAATGATGGGAGACTGCTGAAAAACGTTGTGGTGGCCAGCAGTAGGGCACAAGGGTTTTGTTTAAGAGCTCAGAGGGTTCAAGGGTAAACGTGAGTGTTGGTTTCACACTATAGAGTTACATATAGAGTCTATCTTTGGCAGTGGAATTAGAAATATTTATTGAGAGCTACCTATATGCATGGAGAAAAGAAAGCAGGCATTTACTTTCTATCTTAAGACTGCCTGTTTTATTTTTATCCCAGTAATATTCTGTTGTTGCTGGGTGGTGCTGCTGTTATCTGAAGTTAGGGACAGGGTGGCCATTGGCACGTGGTTTCCTGGGAATGGAAGGAAATGGGGGTAGGATGCTGACCATCTACTGAGTGGCTGTAGCAATCTAAATGTACATCTGGGCGAGTATCCTGTTTTGTAAATTATCTGATCAGTGGATGTGCAGTAGAAATAAGATGAACATCAAGTTAGTGCATGGAATGTTTTCTTTCTTCTTCCGCAAAGAGTTGATGTTACAGAGTTTCAGTGAAATCCTTTAAAGTTAAATCTGTTACTTGAAGCATCATGCATTTTGTAAAGTAAAGGAGACTTGTGGTATAGGATGATGTATTAGAATTTTAAAACATGTGGACATCAGAATAGCAAGAGTGTGCCTGGTAATAGTAGTAGCCTTTGGCTTGTTTTCTTGTCTGTACATTTGTAAAAAGGTATAATATGCAAATCTCTTTTGACAGCACTAATTCAGTGAGTAGTATTCAAATCTGCATGGCTGAGACTGAGACTTCAGAGTCACAATGAAGCTGGTTTGGGTTTGCATGATCCAGAGGCTTGTTTGGGTTTTTCCAACCGCCTTACAGAGCTGCACAGATGTGCAGTGCAGATATTCTAGAAAGAGGGGCCTGGAGGTGGCTGTGGTTTTAGTCCTCTGTTCAGGCACTGCTTTTGGTTTATATTTAACCTTCTCTTTTTAGATGAAGCTTGTTGCTGGGAGGGGAGGGGGATGGTTCCTTTGCCAACATATGGTAGTTAGTTTCCATTCAGTCATCTTGTGCAAAGCAGCACAGTGTGGTTTGTGTTACTAACAGAGGCTGTATCTTTTGACTCTGGCATATGCCTGCAACTGATATTTGATTCCCTGGGAATGTTTCTTTTGCATAAGGAGAAAGTGGAAATAGTAGTGTTGAATTGTGCTCAGCCCCTAACGCAGTGTTTACTAAGGGTGATTAATGATTGCATCCGTTTGTCTCGAGCACAAGCTAAGCCAGCCAAGTCTTCAGAAAACCTCAAAAGACATCTGAGGTTTCGCTTGCTGAAGCCCTTTCATTTCCGAGTTCCTCTAACAGAGGAGGGCCTGACACGTTTGTAAACATCCCTGCTCAGCCCCTTCAGCCTTCCCCTCTCCCCCAGCAGGGTCTTGCAGCTCTCCCCTGTGGGCCAGGCTTGGGAAGTGATTTGGGTGTTTCTGCCTGAGAAGGGAATGCTCCTTTGGGAGCGTGTAGCTGTGCATTCCGGCCTTCTGACTTCAGGGCAGCTCTCTGATCTCTTGGTGGCTTCACAGCGCTGGGTGAGGCTGGCACAGTGTCCTCTCCTCCTTCCCAGAGGCAGAGCTGGCAGGGCTGGTGGGGCTCAGCATGAAACTCAGACCCCTCTCCCACTGCTGCCTTTGGGAGGTGGTTGCTGGGTTCTCCTCCTCCTCCTTCCTCTCCCCCTTCTAGTATTTACTTTCCTAATTTGGTGCGTTTGCCTTGCTCCTCCCTGATTGGCCCATGGAAAATTATTGCAGTTTGGAAATCCTGGGCAGGGTGAAATTTCCTTTTTGGAAAGTGGCTCCTGGCCCCCTTTTCCTGCCTCCACCCTGGTGTAGGGCAGGGGCTGTACCTGCATTCCCCCCCCAGATCCAGCCCTGCCCTGCTGACCCCCAACCCTGCTCTGCCTCCCTGTTTACACTGCAGCTTGCTTCCCTGCAGGTTCTCCCCTGCAAGCTTCTGGGTTTTTTCCAGCCTATTTATTTTCCCTCTGCAAAGTGCAGTGCCTAGAGAGGGAATGAGCTTTAGTTAAACAAAACCAAACCTGCCACCCTCAGCAGCTTTGCAAAGCAAGATTCCTGCTTATTCCTGGGGAGAAATGTGCTCACTGTTTTCTCAGCTAGGTGTTTTGTCTCCAGGAGGGGCTCTGTGTGGATGTGTTTTGAATGCTGTTGTACAGCTGTAAGGGAAAATGTTGGTTGGCAGCATGCTGGGAGGGTTGCAAACAGGCATGGATTATTTCTTCCTGATTTGAGTTCAAAACTCCTTTTCAAAAAAATCAAACTTGCATTTTTCTTTCCTTTTCCAGAAAGGAAAAGGCCACTGTGGTTGTAGGAACTCAGTAGAAGCAGCCTGCCATTTTGCACAACATATGAAAGGGCAGAGTAACACTAAATTGCTCCTCAGTAGGTTCAAGGCATTGAAAAGCTCTGTGAAAATCATGTGGGGTTTGCTTGAATTCAGCTCTACTTTTTGGAGATAAAACTGAACAGTTTCAGGAGTTAAGGAAGTGTCTGTCAGCACATGGCTTTAAGCTTCTACACCTTGGATTTGGAGGCTCCTCTTTGAGTGACAGTGGTTCCACAGAGTTTCTCACCTATGCTGCAAACACTTCACTTTGCCTGATTTTGTGATAAATGCCCAATATCACCATGTATATAACTCTGTGTTGTAACCCATGCCACAGAGTGGCTTGTGCTTGGATTGTTATCAGATCTACAGAGACAAGGTGGGATGCAGGACTCTATTCCTGGTCTCAAAGTCTTACTGAGTTGGAGTTCAGATTTACCATGTTTAGTTTCCTTTTTATGATGGTCCAGTCATTGTTAATGACCCTGTAGCAGTAACTTAACTCAGTTTACCAAATAGCATTTCTCTGCAGCCTTGCCCCTCAGAGCTGGGGTGGTTTTAATATCTATGAAAATTAAATTATTTCTTTGTACTTGCTTCCCTATTCTAGACAGCAATTATGTTCTCAGTGAGATACATGTATAAAGATATACACACACAGAGACAACAATACAGAAATACTAAATGTCCTACTCTGGAGGTCAGTAGTATTATTCATATTTTACAGCTGCTACTTCTGCCTTATCTCTGCACTAGAATAACTTGGGGCTTGAACGTTTTGTCTTGTACTTGTTTGGGTTTTTTCACGGAAAGGGCATGGTTTCTTATCTCACAAACAAAGTCTTTATCAGTAAAAAAATTTCTTTGACATGTGGGAGTAAGAGTCCTTAGGGTCCTGTGAGAACCATGCTTGAAAAGTGCCTGGTGAGGTTCAGTGTTACCAGCTAGACTGGTACATATTTGTGTGTGAAGCCAAATTGGTATTTTAACTGTTAGCTATTAATGTGCCTGCCCATGTTTGGCTGTTACTAGAAGGGTTGATAGCTAGTTTGCAATGTAGTTAATGGCATGAATAATGAAAGATCAACTTCTTTTGTTCTATAAGCTTGATTAGTAAACCAGAAGGTGTGAGCTGAATTGTTTGGTTTCATATGGTCCTTTTTTCACTGAGAGAAATGAGTTCAGTAACACATTGCATGCTCTGATAGTGGATTACTCAGAGGTAACTGCAATTATCTTGACTTAGCCACCAACTTGTTTTGTGGCCTTTACCAGGTCATTTAAATTCATTGTCTGATTTTTATGCATGCATAGTGTAATTACTACTTCATAGGCGTGTGTAGTAGATAAATTATGTATTGAGCTCTTATTCCATAAAGCATGACATGAGTGTGTGTGAGCCATGTTCCAGCAGACCTGCAAATGCTGGTTCTGCTTTGATCCCGACTTGGCTGGGAAAAAGGAGGGGGGCATTTTACAGGCTCTAGGATAGCCATGCACTGCTGTTTCACAACCCCTGGGATTTAGTCTGCACTTGCACATTTACTCTGGAGGTGTGTAGGGGAAGCTGAATGAAGCCTGGTTTCGGTGGATGCCTTCACTCACTGGAGCAGGATGCATAAATATTCCCCATTCCATTTCATTGAGGCTTTGCCTCTTCCCAGAGCACTGTGAGCCATTGAACTGAAACGCTGCTGAAGAGCTCCAAGGCAGGTTTTTTGCAGGCTCTTTTGCATCATCTCAGTTATACATTACTTCCTGCACTCAGGCAGAATGCACAGCTCAGGCAACTCCCACGGTTGGACAGAGAGGTGATTATTTTTAATCACCCAAGTCTCCAAACCACAAGCCAAGGAGGATGATGCATATACATCACATAAGAGAAGCAGCAGCCTGTGCTGGGCTGGGGAGCTCCTACGCATGCTTATTGCAGATAATGGACCGTGTGCTCGAGGACATGTGCCAAGCCATGTGCTGGAGGAGGGGTTGCAGATGTCACCAGCTACAGGAGCACTTCCTCTTCCCCAATGAGTATAAAATGCTCACTGAATCCACAGTTGGAGTGAAGTCACTTCCTTTCCAGGGGAACCACTGGAGCACTGACGAGTAATAACAATTTCACCTTTCGTGGATAGCTCACTTTCTTTCACTTGTGGCTTGTTCGACAGCTTTGGTTTTCTTCAGCATTAGGCAGGCAGGGTAGCTCTCAGATTTCTCCTTTCACATCAAAATCCAGCTTGGTTTGGCAGTCTCACCACTTGTGATTGCTTCTGAAACCTGTCTGAAACACGCAACGTGCAAGGACTTGTCTTTCTTTGAGTTACAATTTTGGGGCTAGGCTGGGGAAGGTGAGAGCAGTGGAGGATTCTCAGCCATTCTTGCTGATTGGTGTATCGTGGAAAGGCTTGTTTCGCAAGTCCAGGGGCTGTACTTTGACCTGATTCTTGCTTAGTGCACATGAAAAGCGTCCCTGTATCTTCATGCCCCTTTTTGCAGGCTCATGAAGTGGAGT